ATTAATCACAAATAATCCAATTGTTTCAGCCCTAGTACAGTGTTTTCAGGTAGAATAAGTTGGAAAGGATTAAATCTATTTACAAAAATAAAAAAGAACATGGCTGATAAAAAATAAATACTGTGTGTTGTGCCTTACTTTTTTGACTGACGGAACATTTCATTGGGAATTTTTCATATTTAAAAATTACACCAACATTTTCTTTTAGACTAAGTTGATAAACAGAAATCATACCACTCTTAAATTATGTTTGAGGACCATACAACATCATCATGAGGGCAACAAATGGCCCTCAGGCCACATATTGGACACGCCCGATTTAGACTGTGCTTTTACAGAGTTTATCCAGGTTTTTGCTGCATTTTACTTAATAGAAATGACTAAATATAGCATATGAAAGTTCTAATAGTCTTTAAGCTCCAACCAGGTGCCTGTGGTAAAGCTGAATAAGGTGTTTTTTTGGAACTTGGCTGGAGTGGCACAAGGTAGACAGATGAAAGCCATAGTAGCTGACATATCTGTACTGCGTCCTTCATCAAACACTGCACACCAAAGGGCTTCCAACAGTGTAACCTTCAGCTGAGCTCTGATGTCTGCATTATGGCTGCGATGCAGACTGGGTGCCACCTAAACAGGCAGAGCAAACCTGGAGAACCACAGAAAGGCACAGAGAAACATTAAACGGTGCTGGTTGTCATATTTCTCTCAGTTTTTATCTTCTGCAGGATTTCTTGCAAAAATCTATGGTTTATATTGGCAATATGCTGCATGTTTGTGTTGGGTATTTGGAGGACCAAAATGAAAATAGGCTCTTTGTTGTCCTGTGTTTTTATCTGTCGTGCTGATATTTAGAATAGAAATATCCTGCATTGTCCCTTCACGACTGTTGTCCGGCTAATGCTGCAAATTTGTTTTGTCACAAAATAAATTCAATTTATTCAAAATACTTTTCCCTACAAAGAGCTCATCATTCGAAAAATGTGCTTGTTCAATTTTGTCAAAAATGTTTCTAAAGGTTTTGAAACATGTCAAATATCTATGTAATATTATAACTATTAGGATACAGGTTAATTAAGTATACTGTATTTGTTTTTTCCCCTCAATGTTTGTCTTCTTTGCTTCTATGCCTGTTCTTTACATTAAACACTTTGTGACTTTGTGAAAGTAATTTACTTACTTAATAAAGATGCAGTTAGACTTGCCTAACTTCAACAGCAACACAGCTGAGGAAAAAACAACAAAGATAGCTGCTGACTAAACAATTTATAAAACAATTTATTTATTGAATATTCTCATTAATAAGAAACCATAAAGGTGCTAAGATATTGTGATTTGCAAAACTATTCATGCCTCTATGAATAGAAATGTAAACAATTTTGGGTGTATTTGAATTGCACTGTATTTCATTTCGGTTACTCTAGTAACCGAAATGAAATACAGCAAAACTAAATCCTCTTAAATGAAAATGGGTATAAATACAAAAGAAAAAAAACACATTTTCAAAATGTCTAAGAATACCTCAAAACTTAAAGATGTAAGTGCAGCTGGTTCTATGAAACTGAGAAAACTCAGGGAAGCTTAATACAAATTTAGGGATTAATATTTGTAAAATAAAATGTAATATTTTGTACAATTTCCCCTTCAAATTTGCAGTCATACACTAATTTGACTTGGTCTAAAAATCCCCCAAAATCATAATAAAGTTTACGGTCTGTAAGGTCACACAAATGCAAAAAAGGTTAAAGGTACAAGGATACTTTTTCAAAGCCCCATCAACTGCAAAGCAGGAAAAGAAGCTTTTCAGTGGGAATTAAAAAGGCATGAAACTGTTGCACAAAGGAATGTAAAAGTATTTGCCAAAATGTCACCACTTTTAACAAACATTTATTCCATTTACTGTAAACGGCTTCAATCAAACTCTTGACTCCCAGAATACCAGGGATTTTTTATTTTATTATTAATAACTCCTTTTGGTTTCACATAAGGACATGAGTTCCCCTTGGGACTTTTTATTCAGAGTGGAGTAACCTCATTCCCAAAAGTTTGGTGATTTCCACTTTTAGAGGCACAGATTGCTGTGAAAACATTTCATCTCAGGATTATTATTCAGGTTACTGCTCGCTAACTCAACAACATTTTTTTAGGGATGAGGGCAAAAACAGCCCAACCAATATAGGCAACAAGCTAATTTATTTAAAAGGCGTAAGAAAACAATCTATAAATCAAAGTGTGCGAAAAAGCAAACAGCTTAAAGGGAGGGAGCAAAGTAATTAGGTTAAGTATTAGTAATCCTTTCAGCTCGTTAAAAGCACCACAGCTCCAAATCACACAACAAACCAGCATCACCTAAATAAAAGGTAATTCCTCAAATGCTGCTAAGTCAATTAAGTAATATGAATGAAAGACTAACTTTTTTTACTCTAGGGTTGCACATATTTGTTTAAATATTCATATTCCCTTCATAAATTGATCTGGTCACTTGAGAAAAAAAAGAACATTAAAATAAATAAAAAGCATGATATGAAATAATAAGAAACTTTATATGACTGTGTTACAGAAGAGGATTAGGGCCATTGGGAATGTAAAAAAGTTAACTGATTTTTAAATATTATTTCAGTTTAAAATGGGAAAAAGTCAGAATTATGACTTTAATCT